CTCCATCAGATTTTCTTTGTCTTAAAGTCTTTCTCTCTCTTTCCCTTCTGAAAGACAGCTTTGTCAGGTAAAATCTTCTTCATTGGTAGTTTTTCCTTTCAGTAGTTTGAATATGTCATCCTAGTCTTTCAGAGCCTACAAGAGTCTGCTCAGGATCCTCTGTGAGGATAGGGGCCGGCGCCATGGCTCACTTGGTTAATCCTCCACCTACAGCACCGGCACCCCATATGGGCGCCGGTTCTAGTACTGGTTGCTCCTCTTCCAGTCCAGCTCTGTGCTGTGGCCTAGAAAGGCAGTGGAGGATGGCCCAAGTGCTTGGGCACCTGCACCTCTGTGGGAAACCAGGAAGAAGCACCTGGTTCCTGGCTTTGGATCGGCACAGCGCCGCCTGTAGCGGCCACTTGGGGGGTGAACCAACAGAAGGAAGACCTTTCTCTCTGTCTCTCTCTCACTAACTCTGTCAAATAAAAAATAAAATAAATAAATAGAAATGTGAGGATAAATAAATAAATAAATAAATAGAAGTGTGAGGATAGTCTAATCGAGTTCCACAAATCATATGAAGAAAAAATAACTGTTCCTCAGCATTGGAGACAAGGGCTACAGTCTTTGGCATTTGACAATGTGATTATAATGCAGCTCAGTGAAGTCCTCATTCAGTTGAACTTGTTTGGGTGCTTCTGGGCCTCATGTACCTGGATGAGTGCTGGAACTTCTCCACTGAATGATCAGACTCCTGTAAAGTCATTCTCATGCCTGAGTGACTGCCAAAATCTGTGCACTTGGGGAAATGATGGTGGAAAACACCTTTTCTAATATTTTGCTTATGTCGCTGTTGTACATGGGTTTTTACAACCTCAAATTCCTCAATAATGGCTGAATAAACTGAAACAGCAATAATTTGATATTCAGACAGTATAATTTCTGCACAAATGAACATACTTCAAGACCTTTACGTCATTTCTATGTTGTAGTTTCCCAAATTGTGTTCTTTGGATGATAACTTATGCTGAATACTCCAAAGTATAATGAGCACAGATTTGACCTTATTATCAAATATTTGGTAATAATTTGTGAAATAATAATTATATGATTTCTGTATTTTAAGACTGAAATATACTAATAGATAATATGAATACTCAAGAAAATATAGTATATAATTTTACTCTATTAACCTATTTTGTTTATTCACTATTGTTTCCATGGGGCATCTTAATAGACTGAACTGTAGTGGATGCATCTTTGAAGGAAAATGCTTTTTCCAAGTCTCTGCAATTCATTAGGTAATAGCCAAGGAATACAATGGAAGTAGCTGAATATTGCCAAATATGTGTGTTTGTAATGTTAGAGATCTCTAAATTTGCTATACTCTCTTTACATGTACTCTGATTGCATAGCAAATCATGGTCATATCTGCGGAAACATTAAGGGAAAATCAGTCCTTGAGCTTATTGATTTGTGATTATTTCATACTAAAAATATTTGTTGTTGAATATGTTATGTATGAAATATAAGAAAAAATTTCATTTGGCCTTGATCATGTGAAAAGCAATGTTTTAAAATATGCTGGGCTGTGGAAGAGCAGTGGAAGGTGCCCCAAGAGCTTGGGCTCCTGTACCCAGGTGAGAGACCCAGAAGAAGCTCCGGGCTCCTGGCTTGGGATCGGCCCAGCTCCAGCAGGTGCAGCCATCTGGTGAGTGAACCAGTGGAAGGAGAACCTCTCTTCTGTCTGTCTGTCTCTCCTTCTCTGACTGTAACTCTGCCTTTCAAATAGATAAATCTTTAAGAAAATAATAAGTAAATAAATATGATGGGCTTGTGGATTAGGAAGTAACACAGTATCATATTTTGTTTCGGTATGTGTTTATTGGGTACTTATATGGAGAAGGCTGTATTTTAAGATCCTTCTTAAATGTACTTTTGAAAATTCTCAAGAAAATTCTGAGAAGTAGATGCTATTATTACCTCCTTTCACAATCCGAGAAATACAGGAAAGTTGAACAATTTTTCCAATGCTACCCAACTAATAAGTTGGTATAGCAGCACTTGAGCAAGGATTAAATCTTCAGAATTTGTGCATCTATCACATTAAACTATGTGTAAAGTATTCGACCTAGAAATTCAAAATTTTTTCAAATTTCTATTCTTATTACTTAAAACAATACATAATAACTCAAGTATATAAATTCAATCTACAACTGCAGATTGAAATAAATACATTTTCTCTCACCTGGATAATAAAGAAATAGTCCAAATGCTAAGGATTAAATTACATTTCTCCTTACATTAAAATCGGTTCTGACATCTGACTCTTTTTGAACTGGTAAAAATCATATCAAAGATGCTTGCAAGACACATCAGCTTGATTTGCTACTAGACAATATAAATGAAAATATTATTTTAAGGCAAAGATGTGTGGATGTTATTCCTCCCTTTGTTCACATTACTGACATATCCTAAAGAAGTGTTTTTAGCAGATACATTGATATGTGGCTTAAATATAGAACTGAACTAAAATAGAAAAAAATACTTAGATAAAAAGTGGCAGTTAACCTGAAAATTATGGGTCTTTAAGATGTACCCTTTAATCATTTCTGAGAAGGGAACTTAAAATGAGGAACGTTTATTAGTGAATTATTTTTAGCTTTGAAGTGATCCCCAGTGGCTTTCAGAGAAGTCTTGGTTTAACACTGGGAAAGATTTCATTATTACGTCTATGGACCGAGCTGTTTCAAAAGGCACTTTACAACTACAATTTTGAAAGACAAAATCGGGTAATTGTGCTCAATTTAATTAGGTCAATCTCTTGTATATGGTTAATTTCAAATTTTGGTGGCTATAAAATCTTAGCCATAAGAATAATACTGTGCCTAAATAATAGAAGTTTCATAATACTCCCAAAACTTAAAAGTTTGTTTCCAGTATATTTAAGGACATTATCTACTATTAATCTTGAAATCCAGGCAAATTACAAGTCTTATTCTCCATATTTTATAGGGAGAAGATCTGAGTTAGGGCAAAATGAAATGACTTATTTAAGGTCAGACTGACAGTGCATGTTGATATGGGGTTTTTTTTTCCATTAAACACCATTTCTTCAAGTGACAAAATGGAGATACAAATATGAGAGTATTTGTGTGGTTCTTTTCCCATAATTTAATGACGATTTATTCATGTGTCCACCTTCTTGCTTGCTTTTATGTTCCTCTGCCTTAGATAAAGAACTTAAGGATGTTATTGAGATAATAATCTTTCTTCTGTGGTCATATAATGAGATTATAGAAATATTAAGTGCTGTGGTTTTTCTAAAAAAAGTCATTTGCATTGCATTATTTACTTTAGCCATGATGCAAAATCCTCATGTTTCTATGTCTGTCAGTCTCAAAAATAGCTTGGTCTAACCTAAGGAAATAGGCCTCTAACATCTTTTATACCTTTTTTCATTCTAGTGTGCATTTATTAATCTGGTATAACCATCAGGCACCCCAGCAGAAGGAACAAAAATTACTGCGGGTATTTTAAGCAGGAGGAGGTTAAACATAAGAAATTCAGTGTTCACAAGATTGAATTCTGCACTTGCCCCTGAAACAATACAAATCTCTCCCACCAGAGGAACTATTTCTTGTGATGGTACCACTAGTACTACTGAGTAGGAGAGCACATCCCTGGGCTGTATTCCTGAGACCAGGAAGCTGGAACCAGGGCCCCGCTGCAGCTACTGCTGTTGTTTAACAAGCTCCCTCTGGGACCCAGAAATTAGAAACAGGCTAGTGGAATGCTCTTGCAGAGGAACATGCAGCCTTCAAAACCCCTTGCCAGTGGCACACACCCAGAGGGGACAGGAAGATGCCTTTTTTCTTATTTCTATCTTTCAGGTGTTGTTTGGCTATTTGGCAAAACCCAATTCCTAGCCAAAATTCTATTGACGTTAAAATCTGGGAAACTTTTAACTATGCAATTATGCTGCAACACAGAGAAGCAAAAACAATGAAAGATAAGATTGAATGACATGATATATAATATCTAGCAAACATGAATTTAAAATTTAAAATCTAGTTAGAGGGTTTGGAGTTATGGCACGGCATGTTAAGACACTGCCTGAGACGCCAGCATCCCATATGGGTGCCGGTCGAGTCCAGACTGCTTCGCTTCCCATACAGCTCCCCGCTAACATGCCTGGGAAAGCTTGGGCCCTGACACCCACGTGGGAGACCCATATGAAGCTCCTGGCTCCAGGCTCTGAACTGGCCTGGTCATGGCTCCTGCAGCTGTTTGGGGGGTGAAACAGCAGATGGAAGAGACTTTCTCTCGCTCGCTATCTCAACTTTTCTCTCTACCTGCAAATAAATAAATAAATTTTTTAAAAAATTAGCTGTAATTGCCTTAAATTACTTTTCATCCATTCTAAGATATCATTACTTGCATAATACAGAAATATTTTATATATAATAGGAAAGAAAATATTGTCCATATAATCATGAAGCTACTTACTAAGGCAACTTCAGCAGCAAAGGGCAGCACACTTCAGAGATGCTTACACGTGGAAAGATGTGTTGTTAGAATCAATGAACCACAACATGTATGTCATATTAAATTTTAACAGTTTGATCTTCTTATGGTGGCATGTGCGGGTATACAGAGGAATTTTCTATTTTAGATAAATATTGAAATATTCAAATAAATTAGCATTCTATTTAATTGGCATGATAAAATATAGAGAGAAAACAACAAAAAATAATAGAATGGTGAAAAACTGGAAGAGATATTTTTTAATTTCCCACTAAACAGATAATTTACCAAATGAAATGACTGACAACTATTTATACCTTTCTAGATTAAATATAGATTTTCCCCCTCTCCTTCTCCCCTCTCCCTCCCCTCTCTCCCTCTCCCTCCCCTCCTTCTGCCTCCCCCTCTCCTCCTTCTGCCTCCCCCTCTCACTCTCCTCCCCCTCCTCTCCTTCCCCCTCCCCCTCCCTCTCCTATATACAAGTACCTGGGTTCACTTCTTTGTTCTGCTCTGGACCCCAGCTTCATGCTAAAGCACATCCTGGGAGGCAGCAGGTGGCTCAAATGTTTGTTCCAACACTCACATACAGTAGGCATTTAGGGAGTGGCCCAACAGATGGGAGACCTCTATATGTCTATCTTTCTCATTGTCTCTATGCCCTTTCAGTTAGAAGAATGTCTGTCCTTGTTGAGTACCCCCTGATTATCAGACACTATTTCAGGGGCTGTTAGGAGAATTGGGAATCAGAGTCCCATAAAAATCAGAAAAGTAGTATTCCACAACCAGAGTTCTGAGAACAAACCAAGTCTTGACAAAGTTATTTCAATGAAATTTCCAGTATCCCACTTTTGTCAGAACTTGTCAAATGAGCCTGCTGACCTGAGATCAGAACTTAAAGAGCTACCCCCTGAGTTGCTGAGAGGTCTAGACATGTTCTATTATCACCAGCAAGCAGAAGTGCTTTTTCATAGCAATAATCTGTTCCTGGTACCAGCACCAAATGTCTAAAAAAGAAAAGTTGGCTTGCAATATTTATGGTTCATAATATATTTTGCTGTCAGCTCAAAGATTGCAGATGTCATTTGCCAACAACTTGCTTATTTGATTTATGGAATAATTAATTGTGAGTAAGATAAGCAGTGCACTGAAGACTGACAGCTATAATTAATAGATCCTTGCAGCAAAGAAATCTTTACAAAATTGTGAATGCAAGTTCATAGACCAAAGAACCAGTATCTCTCAAATTGCTTTATATCCCATTCTTCAGGTATGGGTCAAGGGCTGTACATCTAATAATAACTCTTTATAGTCATTTAGAGCCTTGTAATTTACAAAGTGATTTCTGACATGTGCTATTTTATCAAACTACCCAGACACCCCTACAATGAACACAGAGAAGGCATTGTTATTTGTGCTGAGGACTGAAGTAACACACCATGAGAGGTTAAATGATGTTCCTAAGGCCACACAGTAGGTATGAGAGCTGAAGGCAATCCAGGTACAGCAACTCCAAAGTCTATTGTGGGTAATGTTGCCTGTTGTTGGGTATTGCAAACGGCACTGCTTTGAAGTACCCAGATTAAACCCTGCCTCGTCTATGCATGACCTAAGCCAAAATAATAATCATAATGATAAAATCTCTCAATTCCCAGGAGCCTCTGTCTCTTCACATGTAAAGATACAATTTCCACTACAGTTTCTTATGGGGATAAAATGCAATAAAGCATGAGAAAGACTCTCTTCTCTGGTACCTGTAATACACGAGATAGCTAAATATTTAGTTTCTGGCCACTGCTTCCTGCCAGCCCAACCCACCATTTTTTTTTCCCACTGCCTGCAGCCACCTGACTTAGCTGGGTTCTCAGTTCATCAAAGTCTCCCCATAATTATGCCCATGTTGAGGGAAGATCAGACAATCTTAAAGTATATCCTTTTTGATTCTTCAATAAAATCATCTGGATACAGTCCAAACAGATCCACTCCAAAAGAGACTGTACTTCAAATAAAACCATGTTTGAATCAGGCTCATAGCCTTTTATGTAACAAGTGCAGCAATCTAGACCTAGTCATATACACAAGGTAGGGAATTTTAAATATCACCGGTACAGAAGCTGGTAGATACTTTCATGTCTGCCTCCAAGGAACTTAGAAGCAAAAGGGGGCCGGCGCCACAGCTCACTAGGCTAATCCTCTGCCTTGCAGCGGTGGCACACCAGGTTCTAGTCCCGGTCGGGGCACCAGATTCAAAAAAAAAAAAAGAAGAAGAAGAAGCAAAAGGGAAAGGTATATATAATAATATAAATGAATCCTTAGTTACTTGACTGTGGGAGCATAGTGTCTATGCATGTCAACCTTGACTCATTGCTACGGGTTACACTTTTAATTTCCTCACAAATGAGACATTTGTCCTAATTATAATACCATGTGCTCAAAATACCAACAGTACTTCTCTTATTAATTAATGGTAGACTCAACTAATAAATAGCAGCAGTTGCTCCATCATTTCTGACTGTGAATTGCAAAACCTTAATTAAAATATCTAGTTCTCACTGTATCCATCTCTTCTGGCTGGTCACTTCCTGCCTAAATCGTGTGTGTGTGTGTGTGTGTGTGTGTACATCCTGAAGAACGGGGAGAGATGGCAAACACTGAGGAGGGTTTATTGTAGAAATCCATCCAGCATGGAGTGCAGTTCCTGAGATCAGTCAAAGAGCCTCTGAGGGGTTGCTCTTTCTGAGCACATCTTCATGACCATCAATAATATTGCTTGGAGCACAGTACCCAAGTGTGTGATTTCCTTGCTAGTCTGTAGGTTGTAACTTTAGACTCAACAACAGATCACAACTTCAGATCAACTTCAGATCACATGCTAAATAGGCTAATCCATTTGTTCTCCAAGGCCCACAGTATCAGTTTTGCAGATCATTCCTCCATGAAGTTTGGTTTGTGCTGATCAATTCAACTGAGAGGAACAAGTGAAATGAACCAGTCAGGACTGCCCTGTAAGTGAGATCACAGATATTTGCTGTGAATGAGAAAATGAACAAAATCAGCTCATAGCCTGTTAAGTAACAAGTGCGGCAGTCTAACCTTAACTGACCATATACACAAGGTAGGGGATTTTAAATATCACCAGTACAGAAGGTGGTAGATACTTTTATGTCCTATATCAACATGATACATGTGGCCTGTATCAACATGTTGAATATATTCCTCCTGGAGGGTTCTGAGACTGATTTGTTTTGAGCCAAGTACAGAAAATAAGCCATTTAAAAGAGGGATAAGTGGGGATAAAAATGTGTGAGTTGCTTTTAAGCAATGTAGAGCAGAACTTATTTTAAAAAATACATAATCAATGCCTCTCTAGTTAATGGTCTTACTCCATGGAATGTTTGTAGAAAGAAATAGCAAATATTTCTTATGGAGCTTACTGCCGATCTGGAAAGACAGGAAGTATATTCCGACAGTGGGGTGATGGTACCAAGTTATGAGGGAAGAACTCTAAGAAACGGGAGATGCAGTCCGGTAGGATTCAGTATTGGTATCAGGGCCACTGGAGGGAAAATCGTGAGAGGTAACCATGGTTGGCCTGCTAAAGTATATTCAGAAGAATCTCAATAGATGATGTGATCTAAGAGAGAACATAGTTATGGGGTATTCAAGGGATAATGTGAAGGGATTTATAAAATGAGAACACCTATAGGGAGAACATTCACTTTCTCTTAGAGTCTGTTGGTAGCATTACACCTGTTCCACCCATGAGGAACTTTTAGCTTTTAAGTGAAGTCAGTGTTTAGCTAGCTTCCTTTGTTCTCATTTCAATGAAATCAACAAAAATATAACAAGGAGAATCATTGACTTACTCAGCATAACTTAACAAGGAAATCTTTAGCTCTTTCATTGTTTACTACAGAAGATATTAGAAATGAGATTTTCAGTTGTTAACATTACAGGTCAAATTCACCCAACTTTTACTAGGACAATCATTAAAAGAAACAAAACCAGGGCGGACGCTGTGCCGCAGCAGGTAAAAATGCCATCTGCAGTGCTGGCATTCCATATGGGTGCAGGTTTGAGACCTGGCTCTCTGCTATGGCCTGGGAAAGCAGTGGAAGATGGCCCAAGTCCTTGGGCCCCTGCACCAGAGTGAGAGATCCGGAGGAAGCTCCTGGCTCCTGGCTCTTTGGATCAGCTCAGCTCCAGCCGTTGAGGCCATTTGGAGAATGAACCCGCAGATTGAAGATTCTCTTTCTCTCTCTCTCTCTCTCTCTCTCTCTCTCTCTCTCTCTCTGTCTGCCTCTACCTCTGCCTCTACATAACTCTGCCTTTCAAATAAATAAATAAATATTTTAAAAAAAGAAACAAAACCAGGAGTAGAAGTGTTTCTGATAGTTGTCACACGGAAGCTTCCAGATAAACCATATTACACAACTTACAGTATTTGGCTGAAATGTAGGTCGAAGAATTCCAGGGAATGTAGTCAATGGTTTGCAGCCCTGCAAAACAAAGAATAAAATATTCTGTCTAACATGAAACACTCATTTGCTATCTTGTGCTTAAAAATTGCTGCTTAGCTCCATCTCAAAAACATGCCATGGAAGACAGAGTGTGTTTCCAGCTTACTCTTCTTGGCCAGATGTCGCTAAACATTCAAACGGTCATAGTTTTGCTCTGCATCAGACAGAAGCTGTAGGGCAATTTTTAAAATGTTCCGATTGCTTTTTATCCAGATTCTACCAGGTAGAGCTGGAACACAATTTTGTCTTCTTAAATATATAATCATACTGTTTTATTTTCTTTGCACAAAGTTTTATAGCCCAGTAAAGGGATTATAACTGTTTATTATAGAGAAATGCTAACGACTTTTTTCTTCTTCACTAAAGACTATTTTCATCTAAAGAATATTGTATATTTTTGCCCAACTCAGAAGAACCCTAGTGGTTTAAGCCTTCTTATCCCTCATGCTGAGCATAAATCCCATCTGTACCTCTATGTCTATGTGCATGTGGATATGGGAATGGAAAGGTGATAGCTGGTGCAGAGGGACTATATACAAAGTTATAGCCCAAAATTACCGGGATAAAAGGTCCTATCTTAGGTATATAATTCCTATACCTCCCCTCCAGGCTTCCTTTTTAATATTTCAGATATAAGATAATACATCTCATTCCTCTCAGCCCTAATCTTTCACTACATTTTAATGAAACTTATCTCAAACACTTGTGACATATGAGAGTACTTCAAAAGTTGTTTGGGAAAAATGGAATTAAAAGGTAAGTTTATTTTGGAACAAAAAATTTGAAATCTATGCAAATAAGAGATTTTCAAACAGTTCGTGCAAATGCATATTATGAAAAAGCAGTGCATGGCTTTCAAAGATATTTTTGCAATATAATGACATTATTTTTAAATTCCATTTTCTAAGAACTTTGGAAGTACTCTCTTACCTACTATGTTTAATTTATAATGCTGGAGGTTAAGGCAAGTCAAGAAAGAGATTCCCCATCCCTTGAATGTCCTATAATCCAAGAAGATAGTGTAGGTGAATCACAGATGTTTATAAAACAACCCCAATGCAGGGCCCTGAAAGAAATGAAAAGACAGTTAATTAAAAAGGTTAGAGAAAGAGAGGAATCACACTGATTTTCAGGAATTTGGGAAGAACCTCATGATCAAAGTGATTTTGAACTGACCTTGGGTAAATGGTCTATTGATGGAAATGCAGATATTTATTAAGAAAGAAGTACCAAGGACAAAGCCATGGAGCCAGGGTTAAACTGTGATAGCTCTGTATTGAAAGTGTACAAATTAGACATATTTGGACGGAGCATCACATAGATGTTGATGGGAGAGGAATCTGGAAGGAAAAGTGAGGCGAGAGAGTAAAGTTCTCTATAAACACCAAGGACAAAAGGACACATTTGATTCAGAAATAGAGAACAAAATAAGTCTTTTAGTAAGAAAATAACTATCTTTTAAAAAATTTATTTGGCAGTTGTACATTTAAGTGGGAACAGGAAATACTATGGAAATTAGGGAGCTATCTCTTTAGAAAAGAAGTATTGGGTGGGAGCTGAGCAGAAATAGAAAGCCTAGGGAAGTAAGGGCAGATGCATGCTCATTCTTTCTTGGTAATTCGTGGCTGTTGTATCATGTTATTATGATTGGCAAAGACACCTTTTGGAGTTTGAAAACAGCATGATTCCTGTGAGTGATGACCCTTCATGAAATGTTCCAGACATAATGAATGGGTTGATGCTAATGAATTTCCCTTTAAGGGTCAGCTAAATCATTAGAACTGGAAGAAGTGATTATATACAAAATATTTCTAGTATTTGAGGGATCCAGAATGAGGTGAAAGGATATATGGAATGTTAGAAGATATAAAATGAAGGAAATGATCTGTTCTTTAATCAAGGGTTATAGGTTGGGGGGAACTGCAAATCAAAGTATCATTCATAGCTCAAATGTTGAAAAGGCGGGAGGGAAAACAAAATGGGAACTCTGCCGAGAAGTATGCAAGGTACTTTATTCAATAAACATTTAATGTACATACGTGTGTGTGCATATAAAAGGCATACTAGGGAAAAAGCTATGCATGAATTTTAAAATTGGTTTTGTAGCAAAATAAACACATATTGTTCAACCTATTATCCTTGAACTTTTTGAAATATCCTTTATACATTCTAATTTTAATTAAATAATGAGTTGTTTCATTTGAAAGGCAAATAGTTGTGGGGCACAGAAAGAGAGAGAGAGAGAGATCCCATCCATTGGTTCACTTTCCAAATACCCACAATAGTCCAGGCTGGGCCAGGCTGAAGCCAGGAGCCAGGTACTCAGTCTGAGTCTCCCACATGAGAGGCAGTGACACAATCACTTGAGCCATCACCTGCTGCTTCCCAAGGTACACATTAGTAGTGAGCTGGGCATCAAATGCAGGCACTCTGATACAGACACAGGCATTCCAAGCAGCATCTTAGCCACCAGGCCAAACAGCTCTTCACCCCTACCCTTGTATATATTTTAGAAGATTTTCCTGTGGAGACTTTTACTTACCCATCTTTTGGATGTGGTGGTCTTATTCTATTCTCTAGAGCAGGTCATTATCTGATGATGAATGTAGCAATCACTGCTGAGAAAGAGTTGGCAGGACTTGTGTGATGAGGCAGCAAGAACCATTCAGGAAGTCAGGAAGCCTTGAGTTTAGAAGACCAACTCAAACTGAGGAGACACCACAGTGACTACATCCTCTCTCTCCACCTAGTCCACAAAAACCCTGCCCAACTCCATGGATGCCCTTTAAAAAAAAGATTTATTTATTTGAAAGGCAGAGTTGCAGAGAGGCAAAGGCAAAGAGAGAGGTCTTCCATCCAGTGGTTCACTCCCAGTGAATGGCTGCAAAGGCCCGATCTTGGCCAATCAGAAGCCAGGAGCTAGGATTTTCTTCCCGGTTTCCCAAGTAGGTGCAGGGGTCCAAGTACTTGGGCCATCTTCCAATGCTTTTTCAGGCCCATTAGCAGGGAGCTGGATTGGAAATGGACCAGCCAGGGCTCAAACCGGTGCCCACATGGGATGCCCGCACTGCAGGCAGCAGCTTTATCCACTATGCCACAGAGCTGGCCCCTGCATGCGCTTTTCATATACACATTGAGTAATTTATTAACAAAGAAAAAATGGAATCATCTTGGGTGCAGTTTCCATGCATCCAGAATTCAAGCCAAAGACAGCCATTAGAAGAACCAAAGCTCTGACTCCTTTCATCATAATTACTCCTTTAATTCAATTTCTCTCTGCTTAACCTCAAATTCTGTCTATCTCACAGTTAATTCTAGAGACTGCTCACATTACCTTGGGGTGAAGCCTTTTTTATTTTCTTTTTTTTTTTCAACTTTTATTTAATAAATATAAATTTCCAAAGAACAACTTTTGGATTATAGCGGCTTTTACCCCCAAACCTCCCTCTCACCCACAACCATCCCATCTCCCACTCCCTCTCCCACCCCATTCTTCATCAAGATTCATATTCAATTATCTTTTTTTATATTATTTTTTAACTTTTATTTAATGAATATAAATTTCCAAAGTACAGCTT